AAAAGGGTATTATGCTAAGTGAAATAAGTCAGACAGAGAAAGGCAAATAACACACGATTTCACTTATATGTGGAATCTAATGGACAAAATAAACAAACAAAATTGAAACAGACTCATAGATACAGACAACAGACTGATAATTGCCAGAGGGGAGGGAGGTTGGGGGACTGGATGAAAAGTGAAAGGATTAAGAAATACAAATTGGCAGTTACAAAGTAGTCATGGGGATGTAAAGTGCAGCATAGGTAATATAGCCAATGATACCATAATAACTATGTATGGCGCCAGGTGGGTACTAGGCTTATGAGGGCTTCATAAATTATATAAATGTCTAAACACTATGCTGTACACCTAAAACTAAAGTAATATTGAATGTTAACTTTAATTGAAAAAGGAAAAAAATGACACCATCACTCCCTCCATCTCTCCAGAATTACCATAGAATATTTTTAATGCAACAAACTATACATTCACATTCTCTTAACATGCCTCTCTTCTCTCACCTAAAGCTCAATGGTATCCAATTAAGTTTTAGTACAAAAAATAAATACCAGCAGATGTGCTTTCCATAGCAAACATTTAAAATAGAACTTAAACCTAGAATAAAATAAACATTCTTGATTGGACCTCAAATGCCTTACCTGGTCTGGTTCTGTACACCACTCCAATCTCATCTCTTATCATTCTTTGCCTAGTTCATTATCTTCAGCCACCTAGCTTCTTGCTGTCCCTAAATAACAGAGCACCTGCTGTTCCTATCATCTAGAATGCTCTTCCCTCAGATAATTACATTGTTGGTCCTTCTGATCATCCAGGGCTCTGATCATACATCATCTCCTCAGAGAGGCCTTTTCTGATTAACCTATCTATAAGCGAAAATCTTCTCCCTCACCCCAGTTATGCTCTAACATCTTATTCTGCTTGACTTTCTTCAAATCACTAATCACTCTGAAATTATTTGTTCAATGTCTGGCTCATTGTCCGGATCCCCACTGAAAGGTAAGTGTTGAGGAGAGAATCATTTTCTGCTTGCTTGCCAATGTAGCCTTAGTATCTAGAATAGTCTGGTTTTTATTTTCATCTGTACAGTTTTGTGTGTTCACCACCCTAATTCAAGTCTCCATTCATCATCATTTACCCCCTCTATACCCTCCTCCACCTCTCTCCGCCTCCATCCCACCCTGGCAATCGCCACACTGTTGTCTATGTCCATGGGCTTTTCTTCTTTTTTTTCTTTTTTGCTCAGTCTTCCCACCTCTCCCAGTACCTTCCTCTGACAGCTGTCAGCCTGTTCTAGATCCATGAGCCTGTCTCTATTTTGCTTGTTAGTTCATGTTGTTCATTAGATTCCACATATGAGTGAAATGAGATGGTACAGACTTGGCTTTCTCTGACTGGCTTATTTCACTTAGCATAATGTTCTCCAGGTCCATCCATGCTGTTGCAAAGGTAAAATTTCCTTTTTTTATAGCCAAGTACTATTCCATTGTGTAAATGTACCACAGCTTTTTATCCACTCATCTACTACTGATGGACCCTTGGACTGCTTCCAAATCGTGGCTGTTGTAAATAACGTTGCAGTGACACAGGGGTGCATATATTCTTTTGAATTAGTGTTTTGGGTTTCTTTGGATATATTCCCAAAAGTGGAATCTCTCAGTCATTAGGCAGTTCCATTTTTAACTTTTTGAGGAACTTCCATACTGCTTTCCACAGTAGCTGCACCAGTCCACATTCCCACCAACAGCTGCACCAATCTGCATTCCCACCAACACTTGTTTGTTGATTTGTTGATGGTAGCCATTCTGACACGTGTGAGATGATATTTCATTGTGTTTTTAATTTGCATCTCTCTAATGATTAGTGATTTTGAACATTTTTTCATCTGTCTCTTGGCCATCTGTATGTCCTCTTTGGAGAAGTGTCTATTCAGGTCCTTTGCCCATTTTTTAATTGGATTGTTTATTCTTTTAGTGTTGAGTTTTAGAAGTTCTTTATAAGTTTTGGATATTAACCCCTTATCAAAAGTATCATTGATGAATAAGTTCTCCCATTCAGAGGGTTGTCTTTTCATTTTGTTGATGGTTTCCTTTGCTGTGCAAAAACTCTTTAGTTTGATGTAGTCCCACTTGCTTTTCTTTTGTTTCCCTTGCCCAAGGAGATATGTATATATATATAAATATTGCTACGAGAAATGTCTGAGATTTTACTCTCTCTGTTTTCTTCTAGGATTTTTATGGTTTCAAGTCTAACATTTAAGTCTTTAATCTATTTTGAGTTTATTCTTGTGTATGGTGAAAGAAGGTGGTCTAGTTTCATTTTTTTGCACTTATCTGCCCAATTTTCCCTACACCTCTTATTGAACAGACTATTTTTAGCCTATTGTATGTTATGCCTCCTTTGTCAAACATTGACTATAAAGGTATGGGTTTATTTCTGGGCTCTTTACTTTGTTCCATTGATCTATATGCCTGTTTTTATGCCAGTACCATGCTGTTTTGATTACTATGGCCTTGTGGTATAGTTTCAGATCAGGTAGCATGATTCCTCCAACTTTGTTCTTCTCTCTCAAGATCAGTTGCTATGCAGGGTCTTTTGTGGTTCCGTATAATTTTTTGGAATATTTGTTCTAGTTCTGTGAAGTACACCATTGGTATCTTTATAGGATTACATTGAATCTATAGATTGCTTTGGGTAGTATCAACATTTTAATGATGTTAATTCTTCCTATTCATGAACACAGTATGTGCTTCCACTTATTTATATCTTCTTCAATTTCTTCAGTGTTTTATAATTTTTCAAGTACAGGTCTTTTACATCCTTGGTTAAATTTATTCCTAAGTATTTTATTGTATTTGAAGCAATTGTGAATGGGATTGTTTTCTTAGTTTCCCTTTCTGATAGTTCATTATTGGCTCATAAAAATGCAACTGACTTCTGGATATTTATTTTGTATCCTGCTACTTTACTGAATTCATTTATCAGTTCTAGTAGTGTTTTGGTGGAATCTTTAGGGTTCTCTATATACAGTATCATGTCATCTGCAAATAATGACACTTTTACTTCTCCTTTCCAATTTGGATGCCTTTTATTTCTTCTTGTCTGATCACTGTGGCAAGGATTTCTAGTACTGTGGTGAATAAGAGTGGTGAAAGCACACATCCCTGTCTTGTTCCCGATCTTAAGGGGAACTCTTGTAGTTTAGTTGACTGGCACAGAGTAGGTTTAATAAGTACTTATTAAATAAAGAATGGTATGGGAGGTATTGAGATAAATCTAACTTTTCCCCCATTATCTGGCAATAAAAGAAATTAAAATAATTTAAAAATATTTATGCAAAAAGTATTATATAAACAATAATTTCCCTATGTTATTTTAAAATTATTCCAGTATTTTTTTACTTCAGGGCAGTGAAACATTACACAATACATTATAAAATCATGTGAATCAATACACCAAGTATATATTCTCAATTCGTATGAGGAAAAAAAACCTAACTGAATAGTGAAAAAGTAAATAAAGTGCTGTTATGGCTGTTAAAGTTGTTTAACATGTGGAAATGAAGTAAACTTATGGCAGTGAGGTTTGGGAATGAGTGGGCATATCATACTCATTGTGGTTTAAATTAAGGACATAGGCTGTTTCAAAGCTCAAGGGACAACAGGTACTTACTGATAGTATTTAGCTTCAGAAGATTTACATGCTTAATTTTAAAATATAATGCTCTCTTAAAATATAAAATAGTCATCTTAAATTCAAGCCAAGCGGCAATAATAATGCTGTGTTTATACATAATCTTTGTTCAGGTTCACAACTTCTATTGATATTTTGTTTATTATTCTTTTTATTAAAATTAAGTCAGATATGCAATTAGCTTTGGGAGGAAATCACTTTGGTGTAGTATGTAAACCTTTGAGGATAAAATGCATGCAGGTTCTTCCAATCAGGTAGAACTAATAAGACATGTGAGGTGTCAAGTGGACATTTACTTTTATTATTTTCATCAAAAGATCAGAGTTATAATAAGTTTCTCAGAAACCACTGTAACAAATTACTTCATGGCACAAAGTTGCCATAGAAATTTTCCTAGTGAGTGCCAGAGAGGGTAGCTAAGTTTCACATGCTCATTTCCCAAACGTAGAATTCAATACAGTGGGATTGATAGAGAACCTAATTCCTAAAATGGGGATATGTTATAAATGTAACTTTTTGCATGATGTTAGTAATTTCAATTTAAATTAATCAAGCTAACTTGTGATAGGAACTGATGCAACTAGATTTCATAGTTGCAAGTATATAAAACTCTATTTAAATAGATTCCCTTCTAAAATTTTCTGTAAGAGCCATTACTTCACCAGAAATGCTCACACAGTAGATTTAATAGTATTACAATTTAGCTTTACACAAAACTGTACCTGCCTGCCAAAATAATGAAGATAATCCTGCCCCAACCCCCTCTTTCACCTTCTTTTGTTTTAAAATTTGATTTCCACCAAAAAGATACAAAGAATAACAACAGAGACAATAATAATCACGGGCAAATGTCCTGGCTTTACCCCAAATCATTTAATAGTATCATTATTATATTATACAATGGTTGTGCTCACTATCATTGCTCTTTATCTTTAAATTATATAGAAGAATAGTGGAATTCTAACTCATGAATGTCAAGTAAGCCCACATGAAGTTTTGCTTCTGAACTAAGCTTAAATATTCAATGCTTAATCTTGATTTGGAAATGCTGCTATTGTGGTTTTGTTTTAAAATTTGATTTCCACCAAAAAGATACAAAGAATAAGAAGGTGAAAGAGGGGGGTGGGGGTTGGGGCAGGATTATCTTCGTTATTTTGGCAGGCAGGTACAATTTTGCGTAAAGCTAAACAAATTTTGCTGATACTCAACTGTAAAATTATCTGAAAGAAAGATTTACAAAAGCAAAGATGTAATTATGTGAGCAGAGATTTGAAAACCTATAACACATCAAATCATTTGATGTGTTTCTAACAGGGCTCTTCTTTCACTTGCACGGCTATATAAACGAGTTCATTCTGCTCACTCTCGACGTCCCGGTCTGAATCTGTTTGCCTCACTAGAGGAAATGCCGAAGCAGAGGACATTCTAGACCATAATCCATCAGTCTGAGTAGCTGCATTGCACAGAAGTTTCCCAAACACTTTCACTTCGGCCTGAATACCCGAAAGAGAACAAACACAATTACATATGAGTTCAACTTTGCTTTTCATGTATCTTTCACATACAAAAGTTCAATTTAACTGATCAATCAATTGAAGAGTCAAAACATACGCACACAATGGTGAGGGGCCTCTTCAGGGAAATGTGTGTGCGCCTCTGAGCTGGGCCTTTGCAGTGAGTAGGTACATTAGACAGGTCAGCAGCACGCACTGTGTTTGTATAACTTCATTCTCAAATGCAATCTAAAAATGTAAATCATAGGAGAATTATATTAAAGATAAACCTATCTTATATGGTTCTATCTTTCTAAAAGTTACAAGCAGTAGAAGAGTATAGATAATACCTTTCAAGATCACATTAGGAAGGCTGGAATCTGAAGCCAGGCGAACTGGCTCCATAGTCCTTAAGGACTCTGCCATACTGTTCTTTACTATTCCTAAATCATAAATTGCTAAGCATTCTGGTCAAGCAGAAGTCTATAAGCCATTAATCTCTTTGCTTACAACCCACTGTGTTTTCCTAAATCAACAGCTGACTGAGATAATGTTACTAGTATTAAATTATTGGATATCATAGCTGTAGCATTATTCTAGAAAACCCAATCACCAGTCCTTTGTACCTTACAGAGAAATACTTAATAGAGTAATAAGATTGGCTTTAGTGTTTTTATACTTTCCTGAGAAAAATTACAATGTGAAATGGAAATTTTGATTTGTAGTGGAAGAGATAGAAAGGAGGAGGATTTGGACACTTAGAAAGTAACATAAGACTGAGTACGTAGCAGTTATGTGGAAGAAGCTAAGAAAGAGATCTAAAAAATATAAAGGCTGGAGAGAAGAAAAAATAAAAAGTGATAAAAAAAATAAAAACAAAATTACAATGTTTTTCAATGTTACCTATGGTCCTGGTAGTACCAATTGCCTTCAGACCACTGAAAAAATATTTTAGAGGGCATCTTTGGTTGCTGTGACATAGGCTATTAATACCCAAATTAAGGAAACTTTGTGAAGAAACTTTGTAACGAGTCCCTTTGTAACATGAATAATTCCATCTGATATTATTGAAAAACATTGGTCTTATCTTTATTTGAATTTATAAATTTATGACTAATATCCACTGGCTAAATCTTCATCTAAGCCAAGAATTTTAAAGTCTAGAATATGTGTATATATCTTTACAAAACAGATGTATGCCTGATAAAATGGAGTTTTAGTAATTTAACCAGATTTTTAAAAATACCTTTTGTTCCCTATATAACAATACATTTTATCACTGAGAAAATTTATACTGTACAGAGAAGCAAAGAAACCTAAAAATTAACCATAATCTCATCATGCATAGCTAACAACTTTATATTTTGGTATACTTTTTGTCATTGCGTATGCATTTAAAAAATTTGGAATCATGTGTTTTATAATCTAGTTTCCCCTTTAATATATCATGTTTCTATGTTATTAAATGTTCTGCATCATGATTTTACAGCTGCAAACACTGTTGTACAGATATACTATAATTTATTAAAACCATATTATTGGAAATCTTTAAACAAATCTTTGTGTATATATCTCATTACTTCTTCATATTAAAAGGTTAAGAAGCAGAATTTCCAGGAATGTATTAATTAACTGGAACTTGAGTCAAAATACATTTAGAGTGAGGCTGAGAAAGTCAAAAGGATCGAAAAGATCATAAGAGAAATAACAGATAAGACGAAAAAGTATAATATATAATATCAATTGTAGTTCCAGAGGAAAAGAGAGAAAATGGCACAGAAGCAATATTTGAATAACAAAATTTACCAAAATTCTCAGATGTTATAAAAATAAAATTTATTTATCAAAATAAAAACAAAGGAAACCATAACTATGCACATTACAGTAAAACTGAAAACCATAGAGAAAAACTTAGGGGTAGTCAGAGGACAAAAGATACATTTCCTTCAAAGGGGCAACCATAAGACAGAGTAATGCCTAAACCCTTAAGGATACAGAAAGATTGAAAGGAAAAAGATGTGAAAATATGTACTATGTCAACACGAACCTAAAGAAAGTGGCAGTTGCTATATTAGTGCTATATAACTAATAACATAACTTCAAAATATATAAAAAAATGGTTAGAATTATAAGACTAAATACGCAAGTTCAAAATCACAGTGGAAGATTTTTAACATCTCTCTCAGTAAGTAAGACAATAAGTAGACAAAAATTCCATAAGGATATAGGAAATCTGAACAACATGACTGACAGACATATGGAGCATTGTACCCAACTGCAGAACACACATACATCTCAAGTGCATATGGAACATTTATGAAAACCGACCTATGTTAAGCCTAACACAAGTTTCATAAGTTTCAAAGATTAAATCCATATGTGGTATATTCTCTGGCCACAATGTAATGGACCTAGAAATCTATAACAAAAATATAACTATAAAATGCCTGTATGTTTGGAAATTTAAAAATATACTTTTAAATAACCCATGAGCAAAAGATAGGATTACACTGGACATTAGAAGATAATTTACACTAAGTGATAAAAAAACATTCTGTATCTAAAACTTACAGGATTCAGTTAATGCCTGATTAGAAGGATTTGTAGTCTTAAATGTACATAATAGCATAGAAAAATTATTTAGGCTTAATTTAGACTAGAATCATTGCAAAAAAGTATTACACAAAGTATTTCTAGTATGTTCCCATTTCAGAAGTCAGTTTTTCTCTATCAGTTCCACTCTACTGAATTCTGCATCTAGGAAGTAAGATTGTGAAACAGCTGCACCATCTGCCATTAACTATGCAAATTCTGAAAATGATCTCATTTAACTTCTCAAGAAGTTAAGGAAGAATAGTAAATAAAGATTTAAAAAGTAGAGGGACTAAGAGTGAACTGTAATGTAAACTATGGACTTTGGATGATGTGTCCATGTAGGTTTATCAGTTTTAACAAAGTACCTCTCTGGTGAGGGATGTTGATAATGGGGGATGCTGTGCATGTGAGAGAGCAGAGGCTGTATGGGAAGTCTCCCTACCTTCCCCCCAATTTTGCTGTGAATCTAAATAAAACTATTCTTTAAAAAAAGTCTTAAAATAGTTTTTAAATACTGAAGACCTTTTTTTTTTTTTTTTTAATGTAAGCAGTTGGGCAAAATAAGAAATATTTGGTAATTGAATGTGTCTGCACATAAGCAAGTTAGTTGTCCTTAAGGTATTCTTTGCGTGAAATGCCTCATCTGAATATGTAAAAATATGCTAGTGTTTACATTCTCACTTTTTAACAAGTTTGATTAATTAAAAAACAGATGTGAAAAGGTCTGTTAATCATTTAGCTCAGTAATACATAACTGCAACCTATCAATTAAAAAATCAAAGCTGAAAAAAATTAGTGGGAAGGAAATAATAATAGAAATAAACAAAAAAGAAAAATATATCAGAGAAAAGACTAACAAAGCAAAGTTCATTCTTTAAAAAGACTAATACAAATGGATATACACCAGGATATACACCTGGTAAAGCAGATCAAGAAAAAACAGAATAAAAAAGCAAAAATTACTATAAATCATACAGAATTTTTAAAGATAAAATATCATTAACTATCTTGTCAATATATTTGAAAATTTAGATTAAACTGACACATTTTTAGACAAATAAAATTTGTCAAAATATGAAAACAAAGAGAAAACTCTGACTAATTCTATAACTATTAAATAAATTCAATCCATCATTAAAAATCTTCTCACAAGGAAAACTCCAGGACTAGGTGTCACTGTCAGTGAATTCTACCAAAAATTAATACTAAACTTATTGGTGAATACATGATGCCAATTTAGAGAAACTTTTCCAGAGATGATAAAAGAGGGAACAACTCCAAATCGACCAGCATAATGTTGATACTGAAACCCATTTTACTCACGAACACAGATGCAAAAATCCTAAATAAAGTATTAGCAAATCAAATTAAGCAATGTATAAAAAGAATAATACACCTTGACCAAAGGGGATTTACATCAGCCACGCAAATCTGAGTACTTCAAACACCAACAGGAATCCCCAACAGGAATCCCCAATTTGGGGTGCAGCCAAGAAGAAAACTAGCGCGAACAGCTCAAAGGCTGTGGAACAGCTCCATATGCGATAGCCCAGCAGTGAAAACACGGCTGTGAGGCTGTCCCCTGCCCCCCACGGGGGCCTCGGCCCTCATCAGCTAGGCAGCTCCTTGGTGGCCGCTCTGCTCTGCCCAGCTCCGCAGCTCTGCGCCTGTTTGCTCTTGGGCTGCACAATTCCCTCTCTTCCGGTTAAGCGCACTCCTGGAGCCAGAGGGGAGCCGGCTTATATAGTTAGAAGTCCCTGTCCCTGGTCCCTAATTGGTTAGAATAGAGCTGCTCTGATTGGTCAGAGCTGTGCAGCCACAATTGAATGGAGAAAGCAACAGTCCTATTGGTTGAACTAGAACTTCAGGAACTCATTTTAAGAGGCTGGCTCTGAAGGCAGAAACAGTGCAGGCAGGTAGTCCAGTGTAGACGCTTCTCCACAGTGCAGTTTGCTCCAGGCCCCAGAGCAGGAATGGCTGCTGGGCTCTGTTTATTTTATTTTTTATTTGAGCCCAGTTAGCCACCAGTAGTCCTTCTTAGTAGGTGTTTTTTTTTCAGGATTCACAAGAATAATAAAATATATGATCATTAATAGATTTAGAAAAAGCACTTGATAAAATTCAACATCATTTATGATTGAAATCTGTAGTAAAAACTAGTAACAGAGAACATTTCTTTATGATAGAGGAGATACAAAAATAAACAATAGAAAACTCCTATTAAATAGTGAAATGTTAAAGGCTTTTCCTCTGAAAATAGGAATGAGGAGTTCCCATCACCTTGTCTCTTCCACACAATGTACTACTGGAAGTTCTAGGGCAACAGGAAGAATAAGAAATAAAAGCACAAAATAAAAAACTATTTGAAGATTTTTTTATACATGTAGAATGTCCAAAAGAATCTTCAAATATTGGAATAATAATAATAATAAATGAATTTAACAAGATTTCCGGATACAAGGGCAACAAAAATCAATTTACCTACACTAATTTATAGAAAAGAAAAAATTAAATACTATTTAAAATAGCAAAATCAAATAGAATAAATCTAATGAAAGGTATTCCAGACCTATATGTAGAATGCCATGAAATGTTTTTAAGGGAAATGTAAAAACCCAAAT